TTTACTGCTATAACCTGGATACCTTTCATTTATAGTGATTTTTCTTTTTGTAATCAGCCCTACTGAAAATATTCAGAAAGAAAATTTTACAAAAGGTTCTGAAACCAGCTAAAGACTAATTTGTGTAATTTAGTGACAAAATTAAAAGGTTTCCAGGTCAATTTCCAAAAAGAAAAACAGGCTAAATTTCTCAAATATAGCATTAAAGCTTGTTGGAGATATTGTGGATGGATCTGTAATTCATTGTAATATTTTATCCTTTGTGATTTCTTTGAGAACTCAAAATTGAAATAAAAATCAATGAGTTCATATTGGTGACGCTGGAGGAAATAAATCCAGAAAACATTGAAATGAAACCTTTTGACATGTGGGACACAAAGATTTAATGTTTCATGCCAAAATGACTTGCATTTCAAAACTTCTTTCTATTTTTATAGTATTATATTTCATCATAATTTTTAACAGGTCAACTTTTAAACCAAACTTTTGATCTTGTCAAAATGAAACTTCCCAATCCTCTTCAAAATGATTTTTTGTAATTACTTAACCGAATCTTTCAAAATATTCAGTGTTCTGTCCCCTTCAAGAATGAAATCAAATTTGAAATCCTCTGTGGCTTTCATCCTCCACAGAGCTGTACTAGTATTCAATGTGCACTAGTTTTCAATGTGCCTTTAGTGTCAGGATAATGAATACAATTTAATAAAGTCTTATTTATTCTGTGAACTTCAAACAATCACCTTTCTGTATGCAATCTTTGGTTGCCTGCTCCCTTATAGTTTTATCACTGACAGGATTATGCTATTGTATACTGAAAAATAAGTTGGATGCTGAAAACAAGCTTCTGATTCATAATGGTACCATTCATAGTAGTGAGTCAAGACTCATAATATCCACAAGGATGTTGCTATCTGGGAAGAATAGCTGTAATATCTGGGAAGAATATCTGTTACATAAATTAGCATTGCTGTCCTGCTTTTGCTGTTTGTTCCCCCTATGTATTCTGGATCTTATTCTGAACCTTTAACAGTGGACCTCACTACTGCACTGACATGTCCAGGGGAGATGTGCCTGTTCATGGTAGGCTTATAAACAGAAGCAAATGGATGAAAACACACACTCTGTATCTGGAAATACAACAGGATATTAGATGAACCACTGGTCTGGACTAATCTGGCAATTCCTATAGTATTTTATGGCATTCATATTTTTATTCCATTTATGAGAGTATAAAACTGAGGTACAATAAAGTGTGGAAATGCATTCAGTGATGTTGTATGAATGAAGACATGGCAATAAAGAGCATGCTACTGCCCCATATCTTGTGACGGTCCATCATCCCCTTCATCCCTTCTGCGTCACAGCCTTTTAACTTCCGTACCTTCTGCACTGAGAACGACGAGGAAAGATGTTCACGACATGAGGCCTCAGGGTTTTGGGACAAGACTGTGAAATCAAAAGGAGAGCCAGCAACATTTAAAAAACATTCAGTAGAAGAACAATCCTTCCCCAAACCTATTCTATGGATGACGTCTGTAAAGCAGCCACCCGGCCTTGCCACATTAGTATTTCACCTTCATTCAATCTTTGTCTTGCTGAAGGACCCTTGACAGGACTGCTGACAGTGGAGGCAGTGGTCCCACTTGACTGGACAGAGGTAGTTTAGCTCAGTTGGCTCAAGCATGGTGCTAGTAATACCAAGGTCACAGGTTTGCACTAGATGATCTCTTGATGTCCCTTCTAGCCTTACTCCTCTATGTGGTGCGGTTATTGTGGATTGTGGAGTCTCCTGGTATGGAGTGGGAGAGGCATGGTGCAAAGCTACTATGCTCTTACTTATGATGGGACAGGGTAAGCTCAAGTGGTGTTTGCTTCAACCTCCTGAATAAGACACAGCTGAAGAGCACCACAGCCATGGTTGCACGAGCAGGAGGGCCTTGCTTCATCTACCTGGGAGCTAGAGCAGATAGGGTTGAGTGAGGGAGAGAGCCAACACAAACCTGAACTAAAAACATTTACTCACATCAAAACCTGGGATTGCACCAAAACTCCTGGAAGTTAATGAGAAGGTTTGCATCAGGCCCACAACAAGCTGTGTTGTGCCATGTAGGTACAGCCTAGCTCCGGGGGCAAGAAGAATTATTTGGCTCCAGAGGGAAGTCTTCTCCGCAGCACACTCAGCTCTTACAGAGATCTGGAGAGTGGAGACCAGAGTTGGGAGAGGTAGAAAGTGGCTGCATCACAAATCTTTACATGGGTGCATTGTGTGCTCTTTTAGCAGGGTGACCTCTGAGCAACAGGAGGTGATAGCTCAGTGCAACTCCCATGAATGACCCTTGCTCTCTGGGTCCCTGTCTCCCATGAGCTTACTGGAATGTACTCAAACCTACTCAAAGGGAGCCACAGTGCTTTATTTCTGGGACATGCTGAGTAGGTGAAAATAGGCAGGGCAGGTTTCACACTGGTACTACAGGTGGCAATGTTGAGGTGGTCTAGACATGCCCCGAAGTCTAGCACTTCTGTCAGCGCAAGGGGAAGATGCTAACGGTGCTCAGAACAGCTCAACCCGTTTGGTTTTTTTTGTCTTAAGCCATCAAACCAGGCCAGATGAAACAGAGTTTTGACAACAAAAGGAAAGTACAAAGCTGCTTGCACTGGCTCATGTATCATCGGGACTAGTTGCACCTCAGTTATTTTCTCCTATTGCTCAGAACTATTGTTCTGCAGTCAAGGTTAGTTTGTGGTACAGGGAATATAATAAGAGCTTCTTATAAAGGACATCTTTCCCAGATCCACCCGCCACCATTCATTAAGTCAGATGGCATTTCCTTTCCCCATTATATATCATTTAGTGCATATTTTCTGTGAAGTTGATTTTCAGATGTGGAACATACTGTATAACCCCTTTGTTTATTCCTCCTGTCTTAAACACTGCACAGGAGGTCTAACTTGAGCTGTCTACCTAACACAAAGCATTAAGCTGCACACTCATCTCAGCAAATTGCAAGTGCACTTACATGCATCAAAGGTGTGTTTGTAGGAAGGAACATTGGGTGAAAATTGAACTATTTTAAACTGCCTCCCATGTTTTCAATTATGGATGACGTGCGCAGAAGGGAAATGAGGTTAGTGGGACAGTCTTTGGAAACTCATTTAGATTTGGGTAACAAATTAACGTTGAAACCACCCAAAAAAGTTAACAAAGCAACACATCGGATAAGTTGTGAGGTACCAGAGTGATGCAAGAAGCATGTATAGATTAGGGTCAACCTGGAAAATTTGGATCCAGGTTTTGATCACACCTCCGTTTTGGATCCAGAACTAAAGATCCTTTTTTACTAGGTTTGGCTGAAAACAAATAAAATAAACAGCATTCAAAAGCTGGAAAACCCTTATCTGAATCCTGATGGCTTCCAAGTCCAGAACTGGATTTGGGTTCATGCTTTTATTCCTCTTCACCACTCTGCAAACTGCAGTATACAGTTTACATGCACTGTCCAATTTTTTGCTCAGTCTCAAATGCTCTCCCTGAAATGGGAAACCACCTCCTATCCATCCTATGGTCAATGTCCAAATCAAATTGCACCCCAGGAGGGGCAGAAGTTTGCATCATCTTCCCAATCCTTTGGGATGCACCTGGGACCAAAATATATCTGAACCTCAGTAGGTCTAGGTTGGTTTTAAATATCTGCTGGACCTTATTTTTTTTAGGTGAAAATCCATCCTCTTCCTTTGAAATTCTAGCTTTGCTCCAGGCCGAGGCCCCTTCGGACTGGACCACAACCCAAGCTTAGCACAAATCCCCAGAAAGCAAAACCACTCCTGTTTGGCTCTAGGTGAGCTATATCCACTTGTTGGAAATTAGGTGTGGTGCCAGTTTGTAGACCTCTGGACCTGGGGAAATGCTGTTTCAGTTTACAACAGACCAAGGGGGCCAGAAAAAGTTGCGTCTTTTGGGTTTGCTGTTTGAAATTGGCACTCGGAGATGCTGAACGGTTTGACACACACACTCCTAAGTTTGACACAGCCGGCGAGAATATTTTGGGTCATCTGCGCGCCACCTTGTGGTCATGAAATATACGGGTTTCGGCAGTCAAAATGTGCCAGGACTCTTGTTTCATGGCTGCAGCCGAGGCACTTAATGAAATGTTTCTGGAAAAACAAGGAATGTAGACTAAAAAAAAAAAAATCCTAATCCTCAACCCAGCAAATACCTCCCTTCCTTTTCTCTCTGTCCCAGGCCTTTCCTGGATGCATGTCCGTACAAGATCTGAACACCCCCTAATTCTGGATGCTCATGATACAATTTCAGGCTTGTGAAGTGCTTTATATCGTACTGGGATTCATCCACTGATTCTCAAATCATAAAAAGGTGCTGTTGTAACCATAGTCCTGATGGGGAAACTGCACATGTGCGATACTGTCCGGTTACAATGCAACCTGGGATTTGAACGCAGAGCTTCCTACATCTACCCCCATGGTTAACATCCAAGGGCATGCTGGCTCACAATAACACAAGTAAATAAAAGATCTGGCTATAAACATCAATCTTGTATGCATGCAATCCGGCTGATTTGTATTATATGATTCCTCTTTATAGATAGATGCAGAAGCTGCTCGACTTGCCAGCCTAGGTATACATATGTACACATACACACATATATATACACATACATATACATATATATACATACACACACACACACACACACACACACATATACACATACACACACATATATACACATACATACATACATGCACACACACACACACACACACACACACACACAGAGATGAAACTGGCTACATTCCACCAGGGACCTTTCAAATAAAGC